ACTTACAAAATAGTCATAAAAAACAACAACAAACAATATTTTGACGTTGTTGCCATGTTGCCCTCAGCTAAACTTTACCGCTGGATGAGTCAAGTCTGTCCTAAAATAAACTGCAGAAACCAAACCACTGAGAAGGAAGCTGAAAACTGTGTGGCAGCATGTTGGAGGCTCAGTGCACGAACATTAGACTCCCCAAATAATATAATCTATTATCGGCTTTCAACCTACTTTGAAAGACATCTCTGGTTGAACTGGTCACACTATGACACGGCCAATGAGCTCCAAGTTGAGAAGAGTCACCGTGAGGTTTTTTTCCTATTTGAATGCATTTACATAAAACAACTCTTTGATTCAACAAATGCACATATTGAGATCATTTCAGACTGGGCACACAAAATGTCTAGATAAATATTTCTGAAAATGGTTGCTGATTACAGTCTTTTTAAACTTCTAATTTAAAGTAAAACATCACTTTTTCAATTACAACTGTAAATGTAGCAACAATAGTGTAATATGGTTCATTAAAACAAACACAAATCATCAAAGACACCAGTATAGCAGAACGAACTGAAGTACAGAATATGTAGTCAGCAGGGAAATGGTGACCTGCTTGACTCATTTTCTGCCTTCTTAGCTCTGAATGCCCTCCAATTATGTTAATAGTAACCACAACGTATATGGTCTGAGACACAGAGGCCCTTCAAACGGCGTTAACTCTTCAATAGAAACAATGATTGGGTGCCAAAAAACATTAGAACGTTTGAACCTGGAATGAAGCTTTGAATAAAGGACAAAGAACACCAAATTACTTTGTGGAAAAAAAGAGGAAAAGAAAGATTAACACATTGAATCTGAATTATGTCATTGTTACAAACGATATTATTTAGGGCGACCAAAACAACCAACCAGAACTAACAATACTTAAAACACAAAATTGCAATAATTTCACAGCGGAAACCTTTCTGTAGAGAAATCAGCCAAACTATATATAACTTGTACAGCCTACAGCAAAGACCAAGACTAAAGTCTGTTATCAAAGGGAATTTAAAATATGATACATGCTCCGATTCCTTTAAGGAAGGGGTTTAAGCACCATAACAAAAGATACGGTGCAGGTTCCCATGGGAGGACATTACAGGTGATCATCAGGGAGCACAGAACTTGGTACCTAATGACAGACCTCGAGCTTAATGACAAGCTGGACGAGATGTTGGGCTTTGGTCGATTCTCAGATGAGTTCATGGCTTCTTAAACGTTTTCTACCTCTGGACCAGTATAAATGTGTGGTCAAGGACATCGAGGTCAAAATGAAGTCCGGAGGCGTTGAGGAAAGTACAGTCGGAGGGACTAAAGAAAAGAGGTTTGAAAGTGGAAACCACACATGAGCACAAAGAAACATCTAAAAAAAATAAAAAGAGCCATGTACCATTTCTCCGTTTATAATTGTGTAGCAAGTTTGTGCCGTGTTGGTGTCACTCCCACATCCAAAGCAAACAATGGGATGCAATAAAGCAGTTAACTGTTGGTGACAGTCTCTGGCTAGGACACACACACACACACACACTCGTGTCGTAGGCATCTGTGCATGAGTATCACGTGAGTAGTGGTAGGACTACAGAAGGCAGAATTATTGGAGCCAAGCGGTTCTGCTTTTATGATATATATAATGATTTTATAAACGTAGCAATGCCATTAGCAATGTTACACCTCTATATGAACTTCAATTGATATTTTTATGGTGCATTGTGTTCAAATCTTTGAAACGACATGATGTAGCTGATTTCTATTTCTTGCAGCATTACACTCGGTCACTGGTGATTTATCTCCGTCACATCGCCAGAGTTTTACAGAACGCAGCGCCATGATTTTGTCGTTTCGCCCGCGTCCCGTCTGCCCCGTACGCTACGTCTCGCTGCCCCTTCCCCTCCTTCTCTCCATGTTTCCTCCTCTCCTCTCGCCTCTTCTGCGGGGTTTGTTTGATGGACTGATGTTATTATCTGTACCTCCGTCATCCCTCTGTCTTCAAAAGGAGGGAGAGGACTGTATCTATCAAGCTTTGGTGGGCTTAAGAGAAGCCTCGGGCCCTTCAGTGCTCCAGTCTGAGCAAAGACCCGCGGGAAGAAGGGTGCATTGCGTGTACTTTGTGAATTGATAGCGGAAAAAAAACATATTGCTTCCTTCTTTATAGGCATAGTGTACACTGTAGATTTAGTCTGAAGTAAATCAAACTGTCTGATGTATGTGTCTGCAGTAAGCGGACAAAGAAAATGAAATAAAACTTTAAATACTGTGAAGCACAATGGGTACAGCTTCTGTATTAAGCAGCTAGATGCTCAGTATTTATTCGTATGTCAATTCAAATCTCTATGATGCATCATTGTGAACTTAAACATCATGTCAAAGTGGTTTAAACAGACAACTGTTCATACAATATTATTGTCATGTTAACAGAACAATCCAGAGTCACTACTTTATTAGTCCAACAGATTACCAGACTACTCTCCGTAAGACAACGGTGCTATCAGTATCTTTCAATCACATTTATTCTTATGCCTCTGAATGTGGTCAACGTCACTACTAAGTAAACCAAGAAGCAAATATCTGACGTACCCAATTGTTATTTCTCCAATTTCATCTGTGATCACGGTGAGAATAGACTGAGATCAAATAAACTGAATCGGAAAGTAGATTCTGAAGTTACTGTCTCAAAAGATATTTCTAAAATATTAAACGGCATACTCCTGCATATTAGAATTGCACTCCAATAGACTTGCAAGAGACAAGATTATAAAGTTTTCCCAGGCTGAGGTGTAACCTAATCTTTAAATCCTTTAGATTTTTCTTTTCCAATAAACACTTTAGACTATGTTTACAACATCTGATCAGAAATTATTTTATATAATGTTCTTTCATGATCACGTCCAACATTAGATACAACAACACTCACAAGCTAAAGGTCCATCACGTGTTTGTTTTTTCCACCCGCTTCCTGTATAATTGGGCTCTCAAACCGTGTTGGTGTGTAGATCAACAAACACTGGTTTATTTGTTTAGTCCAGTCAAGCAGTGCGTTGATACAAACTCTGCAAGTCATTCTCATGCTCTGCGTCTGCATGAAATACCAGAACCACTCCACTGGAATTCCTCACTTCCCAGTACTGACTCCCACTTCTTTGCTTTGTTTGGTGTGTGTGTGCGTGCCTGTGTGTGTGTGTACCACTATAGCCTTTGTTTCCAGCTCTCACATACTGACATTGTTGTCATAACCACGTCAAGAGAGCTCCGAACCAAGCAAAGCACAGGACTCGATTATACAAAGTATGTGTTTTTTCTGCTTTGTCTTGTGTTAGCGGACGACTGCGGAACCAGAAACACAAGCTGAGCGCTTAAAAACACTCAGTATACTGCATTTGTTGAACACCACAAATCGGTATGAGCAACTCTCAAGAGTACTTCAACAGAGACGTATTTACATAACCTGGATCGTTCTAGCAATGGGTATTGTAAAAGGCATATTTACCCCCCAGCTGCCCACAGGTTTACTCCTATGCAGTCACATACAATAGTTAATCCAGGGGGCTACTTTTTGTTCACATATTTTAGTTTGGAAAGATTTGTGTGTCATGGGTCAAACTTAATGTGAAGTTGATATTTCACTGTGAAAATATCCTCACACAGAGCTTCGTTTGAATCTCTCATAAGGCGTTTTCCCTCTGACGGGAAGTGCAATGTTCTTGCGTTGGAACTCGCTCCTGCTGCTTCTCACCTCAGCGTGTTCCCAGATCATTTAGCGAGCACAAGAGATGTGAAGCTAAAGCTTGTTTCTGGCTCTCACCTCTCTCTACTGGTTTTCCTTTGACGACATATTTAATTCCCTGCAGTAACTAGTGTTAAATATTTAAAGCAACGGTTGATAGTTCTGTTACTTTCACACGATATCAAACCCTCAAGCAGACAAACCTGGCTTTCATCAAACTTTATGGCGGCTGCTCAGATACTGATTTACTGAGGAAACTTTTCCGTCTCAACTGCCCTCGGCTCCTTATCTGCTTCAAGCCAATATGCGTTTTTAATGACCTACCAGGAATTAATTATTTAGCTTTCAGTGTATGAACTGCTCCGTAGCAAGCAGTTAACGGACCGAGCTGCTTCCCCCCCACAGGCCAATCGGGCCATTGTGAGCAGACAGTCAGAGGTGGGACAAGATGAACGTCTTAGCGGAGTATTGGGCCAATGTGTTCAACTTCAGCTGCTGCTTTATATGTTTCACAATGACTTCTCATCAAGGATAAAGAGAGACTTTAAGGCGAGGCTGCGGTGTGAGATGTCGTACAGATACAGCGTGAAGTGAAAGAGGCCGCCGATTGTGTGCCGACCCTCTGAAGAGAAGGTTCACTGCTCCACACAATCAGCTGCAGCGATGGTGGAACGCAGCTCCTACAGGTGATTACGGTACATTAAGACCCTTAACGCCACTATTGCCACATTTTACGTCTGAATCATACACCTGTTTGGTGTCACTGCTCTGTCAGTTTGAACACACAATCAAAGTGTGTAAACGTTTCAGATTCAGCTTGGCTTACGCTCTCAAGAGATATCATAACCTCTGGTTGGAATAGAAAAATAAATCCCTAGTCCATAAAGACAGTATTCATGCTTTTGGCTTTTGATTTCTCCTCCTGTTGCAACATTACTACGATATTCAGTCCTCAAACTTAACAATATCTCCAGGGTGATGTCAGCATTGTTTTTGAACAACTTGGATTTTCAGAAAATTCCCCCAAAAACCAACTATAATTGCACCAAGACAGAGAGATGCTCACTGCTGCGGATGAAATCAGGACTCAAGGTCAAGTTCTGAAGAGAAAACAGAGAGGTTTTGATGTTCTGAACTCAAACCGGTACGTTTTAGCAGCTGATATACGCGTGAGAAGAAGACAGGCAAAGATTTAACTCCCTTTAATGAAGACGTAGCTTGAAAGAAGAAGGATTGGACTCACCAGGACTCTGTTCTCCGTCTTGTCTCCTTTGATCTCCAGTTTGACTTTCCTCCTGAGTGACAGCTTCACCTTTCTCCCCACTGCATCCTTCACACTCTCTACGCAGAGGAAATACGAGAGGAGATACAAAACAAGGTGAGATCCAAGTGGTTAATTGTGCTTTCCAAAGTCTTAACACAGACCCAATCGGATACATGAGTGCACACATCAGTGTATTTCTGCCACAGGGGGAATAAGCCTAAATATCCACCGATTGGAAAAGCATGTCCATAAAAAAAGTGAGCTTTCCTAATAGTCTTTAAGGAACTTAGGAATCATGAATCCCTCCTCTGAAGACTTCACAGATCTAGTGAACTGAACAAACTGTCTGCATGTCCTCAAAGAAATACTTATTGTATAATTATAGTTACTAAGACGGAAACAGAAAAATGAAAATACAATTGTGTTTATAAATTAATTATTCTGGACATTTATTGAGCAACAAGAATAATGTTGCAGCCCAACCGCATCGCCTTTCCATTTTTTTATTTTCAAATTGATCTGCCTTCTTCTATTTGATTGAACAATGGCATCACAACAGCAACAGCATTGTCCAGTGTGTTCGAGAGATACAGTAGGACGTTCTATCTCAGTAGTAGATTGTTGATTTGATCCGTTTCGACAACGGCAGAGCAAAATAATTGGAATGTCATACATTAGGTAATAAACCTAGAAATTGGACCAAAATAATATCTGAATCATCAATGACCATATCGATACTGACACGGAGCAACATGCGGAGCTTGTGTTCAGCTGTGCGGTTTAATTGATCCCACCCAGTGGAGGCCTGTGGTTTACAGAGCAGATCTGGGTCACTCGCCCTCCAAACACATCAGCTGATATAGTCTGTGCACATGTGCCTGAGACAGAGAGGGATATTGTGTGTGCGTGTACATCTGTGCTGGCATCCGTGCATCATCTTCGCCTGCAGGCTTCCACAAACCATCAGCAGATCAAAGTGAAGCTAATAATTAGGTTCATCTGCCGGCTTCTTAAATATCTGCCCCATTTCCTACTGCAGCATTTCTAAAACCATAGCCGCAGAGATTCCTCTACACAAAGCCAAATCTGGTATGTTTTAATGAGAATAGGCGGTTTTGGAGCAGTGTTTTGACACAGCATGCAGCCACTAGCTGCTCTGAGAGAACAGCTTCAACAGCCTGTTGAGTGTTTTCTTTGACTCACACCAATTCATAAAAACAGAATATATATCTTACTTCTATTAAGATATTTGTATCAGTCGGTGTGTCTTCTCATTCCATAAAGTGTTTGTGTCCATGTCAGTAAAATGTGTTGTTGGTTAGCACACAAACACCTTCACGTTTCGGCTACTTGAACAGAGTCTGTGGTGTTTCCATCTGCAGCATCACGCAGACATTCCTCATGTGTGCTTCTGCCGAGAGTTAAGTTGTATGACGCTCAATCACCAGCAAACAATGACTGTATACATATAAATACTCCATTCAGCACCCCGTGGCAACAGCATCATGACAAACCACATTCCTGACGGCAAGTGTGCCGTGCAGCCAGCCAGAATCAGGTCGATATGAAGAGAGATCAGGGGAGGAGGGGGAGCGCAGGAGGGGGGGAAGAGAACCTGCTGACGCATGATTACCTGAGCGGTATCTAAACAGCTAAAAAAAAAAAGAAAACATGTATGTAGAAGTATGTTCAAATGACCCGCTGCCAGGTCATTTCCCTGGCTCACATCCCAGAGTGTCCAACGGTAACCAAAATGTTACGCAGTTTCATTGCCTTTTCTAACTATCTATGTATATATTGATGTGCAACACCTATAGATTATTAACAGGTGATGAAAAGGTGCCGCCTTGAACACATATTGAGTCTTAGGTTTGAATATTTTACTCATTGTAAAACAGTTGTTGCTTCATATAAGAGCTGGAATTGGCTGACAAGCCTGCGATAGCGTCTGACAGGGACAACTTTAACAAACGGAACGGAGGGATACAGTAGAATAAACCATGCGCTGTAGACTGTAACAGTAAGATGTGGAATTCCAATACCCATCTAAAAAAAGACTTTTATTGGTGTATGCGCTTTCTTTTTTTGCAAGAGCACAAACATGAGGCCGGATCACACAGAAACAAATGTATGATAGTTGTGACCAGGCATCATTTAAGCCTTCTTTGGAAATAATTGCAGCCATTCGATCGGTGAGGGCTAGTGTGTGTGTGTGTGTGTGTGTGTGTGTGACTGAGAGAGCTTGTGCTTGTTCAACATTGCACTGAGGCGTTAAAAACTGAGCTACTTTGCCAAACAAAGAAACTCGGCACTTGAGCGGAACAGGTTCTTGGGTACGTCCACATTCAATACAAATAAAGCAGAAGAAACACGGCTGGTGTAAGCCAAAGGAAAGACTGAGTGAAGCTGTGTTAGAGGGTGGACGAATGCTATCAAGGGATAAATGACCCTGGAAGTCATGGGCGAAACCACTAAACTGTCATGCCTTTCCCCCCCCCCCCCCAAAAAAAATGTAGTCCACTTCACATCAACAGTAGGTTTATCTTGAGCAACAGCAGCAAGTCCTCTGTGTACAGAGTCAAGCTGGACATTGTGATGCATGTTAACACTGTATCAAATATTATGCAAATATGGCTGTTTCACCCACTGAAAGTACGTTTTATTAATCCCACTGTATATTTTGATGTACTTATTCTTCTCACAATAATTATTTCCCAATGAAAATGACCCAATAGTTAAATATAATGGATACTATCAACACAGAGGGGAAATAATGGCATGACTGTGTCTCATGGCAGACTTGTATGAAATGTTATATTTATGGTATCCCATCAGCTCAATAAGGACACTGCAAAAGCCACCAAGGAGCACACGCACACCGAGTCAGGACCGTGATAATCAGTAATCGTTCCAGTCGGGACACATGGCTACAAACGATCTGCGCTTACCTAGAAGCTCTTTGTGGACCTCGGACACGTCTTCGCTCATTTTGCTGCAAGGTAATATCCAAAAAAAAACGACGAAACGACCGCTCAGTCAGCACATCGAGACGCCTCTGGCTGGGACAAAACAAGGAGCGAGACAGAGACAGAAGTGTCAGGTGGTGGTGAGCGCCGCCGGTGCGTTCCTCCCGGTTACATGCTCCTCTTTCGGCGTCCCGGACAATGTACCCACGTTCAGCTGTGTGCCGAAAGAAAGAAAGAAACACCCCGTTAAGGTCCTCTCATGTTGAAGAGAAGCCGATCGTGCGCCTCGGGGGAGGTGAGAAGACCACCGCTCACACGCATCCGCGCCCGGGGGGTCCTGCCGTAAAGCTGACGGGGATACAGCAGCAGCCGACCGGCGGATAGTGGAGATCCGGGGGCCCCTCCTCGTCGGCAGATGCGACAGTCAAGGCACTGACGCGATGCCGGCCGGGGTTGCGTGGCGTGGCGCGGCACGGTGGGGGTGGTGGTGGTGTCAGCCTGATATTAGTGAGCAGGCTACAATAGGTAGTGGTTTCCAAGCGGGGAACCGGGGACCTCTAGCGGTCACTGACGGGGCCTGATGAGGGTCCTCCTCCCATGCCTGTGTGGCAGGAAAAGGATGACGCTGTGCGTAAATGATCCACGCAATTGATACGTCTTAATAAGGAGATTTAATTGGAGATAAATATATACGTCCCATGGCCTATAACAACGGCATGATGACATAACGACTACGAGTTCAAATAGACTCTTTTTATATTTTTTATATTTTAATATTTTGGAATGCTGGCCCATTGAGTTGTCCATGCAAACAGGCGGTGTTAATATTCCACCACCACAACTCCAACAAAAAGGAAAAATACCTGAACTGTGCAGCATCGGAATTGGGTTATTATGACTTCATTAGTATGAAAGTCAGATAATTAATGAGTTAAAGAAATGCTAAACATTAAGAAAAAAAACATATATTTTAGATTTGTTTTTATATCTGGTCCAGTAGTGCATACAAGCCGATGTGACCACCTGCATCTACTAGTTTGGACATTTGATTGTGAATTATGAAAATTAAATGGGAATATTTATAAATGAACTGTCTCTCATTCGGTTTGTAAATTTGTCAGTATTTATGATCACTTGGAAGATGGCGAACCCTTGTGGTGATTTGGTTCAATTACAGACACGCTCAAACCACAGTATGCCGTTATACTTTATTTATTCTAACATATGTTTGAAATTGCAACATTTTACAGAACCTCAAACATTTTATGACAACATTTATTCATCATTACAGTTCCCTTTCATATCATTACAAGTTTCAGGGATTTACTTAAAGTAATGTAACATTTGAATATAGTACTATTTTACTTGTGATGTTCCCCTCGTGTTGAGTCATGACAGTTAATCACTTTTTTCTCCTTATAAGAAGTAAATAGTCTGACCTAAGTCCATAATACTCAGACAAGACCTGACTATTTTTCACCATCTTAATCATGGAAGCTTTCATTTTGCATCCACAGTCTTCTGTATACTACATTTTGGTAATTTAAGTAATACTGCTCAAGTAACATGGACCATCATCATTGTCAGTGTAGCGGTCACATGTCCCTGCTGCTAAGGAGTAGCGAGGTAACACTCTCTGAGAAAACAATCCATATGTAAATATATCGGAAGCCAAAATGGACACAAATCCAAACTAAGAGAAAGGTGTATGAGCATAACCAAGCTGCACGGACTCTAAACATCAAAAGGTAAGGTACAGTTTGGGCTCTGTTCCTTAATCTCGTTGAAGATTGTCTCTAGTTTTTCTGCAATGGTGCAGAAGTGTGAAGTCTTCAGCATCTTTGGCAGTGCGTTGAGCTGCTCCTTTGGAGCCTGAGCCAGCCGCGCTCTGATCCAATCCATCAGAGCCATCCTCTGTTTGGGGAGAGGGCCCTCCTTTGCGTTATGAATGTGCCTGTTGGAGGAAGATGTAAAAGGTTAATGGGTTAATTGTTCGGAGGTAAAATGACTGTTTACAGAGGTAACCGATAGACTCACCTGGCAATACATTTTCTAATTTTTACTGCACGCATCCTGTTCAAACTGAACAATCCTGAGAAGAACGTTCTCAGCGTCTCAACTGAGAAAAGGAAAGTTAACGTTAAACTGCAGTCTGAAGTCCAAACTTTTGTCATATGTTATAATAAAATTAAATTTGTTCAAAATAAAAGTACCCACCATTTGCGAGGTCCTCGCATGAGCCACACACTGTATCCTGGTGGACTGATCCGCGGAGGAGCTCTATCTGTCCGCTTGCGCATTCCTGATGTTTTACGCACGATTCCAGCGCAGACAGAGAGGTAGAGAAGTAACCACCGGAACACCTTTCACACACGGTGTTTCTTTGCAACGTGCCTACAGAAAACATCAATTTATGGTCATTACAATGTCTTCACACCTTCTCCACAACAACGATGTCCGCATCGTTTATTGAATTAATGAACAATTAAAATGAAAACTGCGAACTATATTCACCTTTTGTGAGAACACCGCGTCCGGGACCGCACTCTTTGTGCCTCACACAGGAGTCCCCTGTCAAGTAGGAGCCGTCTTTGCAACGACAGACCCGATTGCTTGTCACTGTGCACTCCGTCTCCACCTCCTGGTTCTCGGTGCAGAAGTTGCTGCAGTAGAGACACTTGGGCAGGTAGTTCCACAGCTCGGTGAAGTGGTGCCTTCTGCAGGGCGCGCACACGGTGGGCGTGGTGGCGGTGCAGTACTCGGTTATGTGGGTCCCGGGGGGACACTTGTCACAGATGAGGACGTTCCCGGTGAAGGCGTCTTGATGCTCAAAGGTGGGACTGGATTCCACACCAGAGAGCAGGAGCAGCACTGGTAAGAGGAGCTGAGGAGAGAGAGAGAGAGAGAGGGAGAGAGAGAGAGACATGTTTATTCAGCCCCGTTCAGTTTAAAGCTACACATCGGATCACAAAAGATGGGTTTTTTATAGCCTCACCATCCTCATCAGTCATCTGAAAATATTCGGGTCATACTTTATTTGGCTGGTTCCTTTTTTTTACTGTAACAACATTTCAATGACCTTTTTCCAACTTTTTTGAAGGGGTTTGGAAAGATATGTTAGTTCATACTGTCTTTTTTTTGCAAAAGATAATATTGGCAGCAGCATTTTCCATACTGCTTTGTATCAATCAGTGTGTAAGGGATACAATTACATTTTAAGTTTAAGAAATTACATAAACCTTAAAAAAATAATGTTCATCTTATCAAAAAATATTGTTCACCATATCAAGTATAATCACTAATCACCATGTATGCCTTCGTCTTTGGCGTTTTATTATCTTAAATTTGTACGAATTGTACAGAATACTCACCATGGTGATGATGTTCATCTCACCCGTTCTGTTGAAGATGGTTTGCCAGGAGAGTAAATGCCATTTATATACTGTAGGTTTCTTAGGGAACCTGCGTAGGCGTTTCTGGTTTTGATGGTCTATGGTTTTTATGAATCGTAATTTCAGAAGGTCAAACCACATGTAAAGTTACGTAGAAGCTATAGCTATTTTAAATAATGTCAGTGGTGAGAAACCACCATAATAAAATAAGGTGCTTCTGGTTTTCTTTTGTCTGTGAGAAAAAAACTGACATCTGCGTTTTACTTCTCATACACTCAAATATATTTGAGATCATCAAATTTGACATCCAAATATCCTGCTGGCTTCTCCGCTTTGTAAATACAACACACCTGCCTCCCCAGGTGCCTTCACGCCAGCCCACTGCTCCCACTGTGTGGGACGGGTTAAATGCAGAGAACAAATTCCTGTATGTGTAAAATAATACTTGCCAATAAAAATGTCTTCTTTGTCTTCTTCAAAAAAATGTTGTATCTCTGATGCATGGTCCACAGACATTTCCCAGTGCCCACATAACGCTCTGTGAACGAAAAGCTACATAACATTCGTCTGTAGAAAGATTTTACTAATAGAGGTTTTCCAAATATTCATCCATCATTTGTAGGTGGGAGTGTAAAGGGAGCAGAACTCTGGGCAGGACAAGGGGCAGGACAAGTGGCAGGACAAGAGGCAGGACAAGGGGCAGGACAAGTGGCAGGACAAGGGGCAGGACAAGGGGCAGGACAAGAGGCAGGACAAGGGGCAGGACAAGTGGCAGGACAAGGGGCAGGACAAGGGGCAGGACAAGAGGCAGGACAAGGGGCAGGACAAGTGGCAGGACAAGGGACAGGACAAGGGACAGGACAAGTGGCAGGACAAGGGGCAGGACAAGGGGCAGGACAAGTGGCAGGACAAGGGACAGGACAAGTGGCAGGACAAGTGGCAGGACAAGGGGCAGGACAAGAGGCAGGACAAGGGGCAGGACATGGCCTGGCTGAGTTTGGAGCAAAGACAGTTTACACCCTGGACAGCTCTCAGATTATTGCAGGGACATTGACTAATGTAGACAGACAACCATTGACACTCAGTTTCACACCTATGGTAATTTAGAGTCCTTCTTGAGCTGTGGGAAGAAGTCAGAAAATCCACTTGACATGGAAGGGTCAACCGTGTCAGGAGACAGTGATGACATTTTACATTAAAAATATTTATTTTATATTTGAGGTCAACATAAATGTCAATTTAATTGTTGGAATAAACTCATATATGTCAACATGCCAAGTCCCCATTTTTTCTTTTCATTGAGTCAATGGATGTTTCATCATTTTCAAGTACTGTGATGAGTCAAACAAGTGTTTGTGGTGTTCTTTTTCCACAGAATATGAAAACTATCAACTGTGATTTAAAGGTGATGATAAAAGTGCGGTTTTAACATGGAAGTGTGCTAAATTCAGGGCATTAATGTTGGAGTAAACAGCTGTCATCTGGTTAAAGACAATGTCAAATTGAGCAGAAAATGAAGTCACTCGTGGTCGGCGCTCTGCACTGACCAGACCAACAAACAACCGTCCCGTTTCCTCTCAGATCAACACTGTTGGCTCTTTTTATTGTGATTAATTATCACCATTAGCAATGAGTCTCTGACTACATCGCTATGTTGAAAGCTGCTACTCCCAATATTGTGTTTTCTCAATTCAGAGTCATTGAATTACGTGATGAAGTCCAGGATGAGGGGAATTAGTTCTAAAGCATGGGTGCACCTTATAATTCAAGGGATTTTGTAAATTAAACTGGGATGCAATGATCTACTTCCTTGCTTTCACATCAAGACATGTTTTATGTTAAAAAAAAGTAGTGATTTTGAACATATATCACTATATTTTATCTGTTCTTAAAGGTCAATAATGAATTCAATGCCTAACAATGCTTAGTTTGGAAAAAACAACACTATAAAAATAAAAAACACTATTAAAACACCTCACATAAAGATTCTTTAAACCTATCTGGGATTCCACTCCATTGTTGTTTAGTTGGTAGTTGGCAAAGCTTTGACTGAGGAGTTTACCATGTGTTGTTAGTCAAATTTAGGTGAAATTCCCATTGAAGCCCCCCAGGCTGACGCTGTAGTGGGAAGATGTGTGCTGTGGAAGAAGATGTTTCCGAGCCAGAAGACAAAGTTTATGATCCAAGGATTCCGAGTAAATCAGGCCTGCAATGTTTGCCAGCGCTTGTGTCCATATTAATGACATAAAATAAGCTTCTGAGCCCTTTCATACAATTACACTGGGCCTGACCTCAAGCTATGATTAGCTCTCCTTTTGTTTTGATTTTGGCAGTCCCAGTGGACTAAAGGGGTAGCCTTTCCAGACCCTTTCAAAAACCTCTCACTTTAAGGCGTCAGGGTCCGACTTTCTGTCCCACGCGGCCCTGGTTCTCCCATCGCTGCAGGGATACAAGCTAGCAGCATTGTGTGTTATTTCTTAACGGAAACTGGCAAAGCAACAAAGCAGTTCTCCTCCTAGCCAGGGCCATATTAAATATTGTTTATTTGGCTGGCCAAGCGATCCTACAGCAAACCTAAAAACAAAAGTTTGGTTTAATTGTCAAACAGATGGTTTGAACTAAGATTGTGCAGCGGACCGGGCGGATAGCCAACCAGAGGATGATGAGGTGGCAACGGGCCACTCTCACCTCTGTCATCGTGTAAATAAGCAGGAGCAGCTGTAGAATCTCAGGTCAAATTCAGCTCGCATCTATGAAGAAAGAACGTTTCTTTTTACAAACTGATTTTAATCAGATCAATAGTGTTCACAAGTTACACAAGCTTAGAGAGGAACAGTTGGGCATATATACAACAAGATCATACACTTAATAGTATAAGCGATGAAACAAAATATAAAACAAATCAGTTCATGAACTTGCAGCATTTGGAATCCAGTATTTCTGATAAAGTAATAAAAAAACAAGCCTTTACATATTCAGAAACTAAATATATATTTTTAAATAGAAAACAATTGCACTCCTTTGGACATTCAAAAAGCTGACAATTAAAAAAAAAAAGAGCTTTACTTGCCAGCAGTCTAGAACAAACCAACAGACAAAGGAAAATGGCAGAAATACATCTATTTAATTATGAAACTAAGTTCTTCTTCTCAATCAGTGAGATAGTAACAATAACAAAAACACTACATCTGCCAGCCCATCTTCCATAAAACAGTGTGCTATTTACATCTTAAATAGTTTTTCATTTTTCACAGACTCCGGTCGAAATGTTCCCAGGCAACCTTTTTTTTAGTTTTAGTTTTACCTTTTAGTCTACCTTGAGTACACAGAAGAGTGATAGTTTTTCCTTCTTTCATTAGTTTAATCACCACAGAAATAAACTGTAGAGTGAGGGTGAAGTAATTAGCATTTCATGCTACCTCAAATAATCAAAACATCCCTATTTTGGTAAAAATCTATGGGAAGGAAGCATCTACTTCCCTGTCTTTCCCTTGTGTTACAGTTAAGCATTATATGCAGAGCTCGATATCATTTGATGACACCTGTGCTTTTTCATGTAACCCATGAGTGTTACTCTTTCACATACATTTAAGTGTGTGTTTGTGTGTTCTTTGTCGGACAATGCATTAGTGTGTTTTCATGCTACGGGGCGCCGTATATATTTCTATTCATTTAACGGCTTATGAGCCTTAAAACACGACTCGTCGTGCAGCATATTCACAAACATCTTCTCATACATCTTGTGCGTGGAGGTGGTTCCTATGATACGGCTGATCTTCTTCAGACCTTTCAGCAGATAGCGTGGTGCCGCCTGGCTGCGCAGCATCCTCAGACTGTGAGACAGAGCTTTGGATAGATCCACCTCATGGTTCGCTGTCTTCCAGAGGTGAAGAAGCTGCAGGATGTACTGCCTGGGGAGGCAAGTAGAGACCACGGCCCGCACATCCTCCTGTGTAACTTTGACGCCCGGCAGGCTGTTGGTGACCTTCAGGAGGTCGTCTAGGGTCAGATTTCTTAGGCTGTTGCAGCGGGAGACTTTCTTCTCACAGTGGTTCATACCTGAAGGGACAGGATGTGCCCATTAATACACAAATCTAGAGCTGGAATTAAAGTTTAGTTTTTTTAAAAGTGTACTTTTTCTCTACCTTGTATGATGGCGTACATCTTGTCCTGGTCTTTGTTCTGCTTCCTCCACAGTCGCAGCAGCTGGAGGACCTGCTGCTGGGGAGGACAGGCCTTCTTCAGCCTCTCCAAGCTCATACGGTCCACCTTATGACCGGGAAGACTCTCCAACAGGCGCTCCAGGGGCACCGAGGACAGTCGCAGGGATGAGAGGGACTGGAAGATTGCCTCCTCACACAGAGTCACATCTGGATACATTTTAAGAGACAGACAGGGAGAGTTTTTATTAAAAATTATTCATAGCAGTGGGCACATTATACGATTAGACAAAATGACCAAAGTCAATCAAATTGCATTGTTCAACCGCAGTCCACAGTCAATGATTAGCATAGATTCTGATTCCATAGTTTGGTCCAATGGGCCTATTATACATCTGCAGTCGATTATACTTGTTTGTGCGTGTGTGTTCAAACCGTTGGCTTGTAAAGCAGAAACAAGGAGCAGAATCAAGGATTTGCTCTTTTTCTGGTGACAGCGTTGAACCACAATTGACATCAGTCAACTGAGCCCCTCTGTATTGCTCTGCACCAAAGCAACCTGAGCCGCATGTTGAACTGAAGCGAGTAGCAGTTACTATTGTGGGTGCGGCCGACACTTTGCTGCTGACTGACTGACACCTAACACCTACACGTGTACGTTTCCAGGGTTTCCTTCTGAGGTAAATTATGTTTGCAAAGAGCGGAGTTTTTGTATTACGAAGAACAGACAAAGCTGACGATGTGAAACTGTCAACTGTAACTTACAGTAATGAAGCATGTGAACATGAAAAGATACCAGGAAATATAGTTAAAAAACTTCATTTAAACCAGCATAGCTATAGCATGGTTGAGTTTAATGTGAAGAGTATATTAGGCTCATTTCTCAGATCATTAAAGTATGGCTTGTTCCATAATTGTCATTGAGGTCCTGGTGGTTTTCTCCAAATCTTGAGGCAACTTTGAGAATCCAAAATCCTTTAAAAAGCCCCGCTTAACTAACCAGATTCACTGCAGAGAATCTGTGTTCTATTATTCCGTAGAAAGAAAATTTGTTGAGTGTTTAAGGAGAGCATCGCCCTCCCGGAGGGGCAGCAGCTTTGTGCGCTCGATCCTAAGTGTGGTATTCGGTATGCACAAGTGTGCCAGGGTCTGAGCACCTGCATGTGTGTGTTCTTTAGAGACTGTGGTTTCTCAGGCTTCGAGATCTCTTTGTCATATTTGAGGTCTCTCCTCCTCCTTAAATGAATTGTACACATCTGTTGTAGTTTAAGTCTGAGTAACAAAGACTAAGCAGCTCGCTGAGCTTGACTGATTTTCCTCTGTTATTGTAGTTTGAGGATGCGACAGTGAACGGAGTAATTGATCCATCAACATGACCCGGTGATGATCAACATGACAGCAGTAGCGTAAACATCCCATTCAACCCTTGGCTTTGGTTTTTCTCTCATGTGTTGGTTTTTCCGACTCGCAAGAATTTAGAAAAGAGTGGAATTTTGACAAAGAACGTGACCGAGGAAATCCCCCGATTTCAGGAATGAAGATCACCACATTTCTGATATAATTCGTCACTGGCGGAGTTTAAGTTGTTGACAATGGAGGTTAGCTCAAAAACGTAATTGTTTGTGTGTGCGTGTGTGCAGAGTATTCACTGTAGAAACAATCTCTTCCCCTGATTCCACCCTGCATTAGTCCCAAGACCCTCCTGGATGGCCTTCTGATAGTGATTGCTACAGACGGAATGGGTGCATTACCAGTGTGGCACAGAGTGTGACGCTGAGAGCACTCCAGCGTCGCCGTCTTGTCCGGAGTGTCACAGAGGCTGTTTGAAGTGGACGTGCCCCATCTCAGCGTCTTCAAACCCAAATCAGAGCAATTTCTGTGGCGCTGACATGCCTCAGAGGCCGAGTCCCCGCCGGAGAAATGACCAGCGGGACAACGGTCACATGTGGTGTCACTCACCGGTGTACCTGGAGGAGATGGACAACATGTCAATTGGAACGGATTGAAATCTGATTGTGACAGAAATAATACAGTTCAAGTGGCCTTACAGAGTTTTCCCGTCTGTACTATCTGAGGCTTCTTTTTAGTGGTAGAACACATCATGACTCACAATCTCTTGCCGGTCAAGGACATCGAGAGGATGTGATTCCAAGAGCTACGACCACAACAATGTCACACAACATGTGACAAGGCTTCAGGAGACCCGATCATGGTGTGACCTTTGGAATGACTCATTACTTACTGACTATACAAAGAATGTATCATCAAAACTAATCTGAAAGCTGATTCAGATTTAACAGATGAAGTAACAACATTGCTAAAGTAATAGTATAAGAAAAATATAATCATTTTAAAACTAGATGTGTTTATTATTTAATGACATCAAATGTTGGCCGTAATGACTATTTTTCTCAATCCACTATTGAGATCAATTCAAAGGTTTTACGTTTAACTACAGTGACATTTTACAACCCTTACTGTTTCTTTCCATTCGATACATTACAGTAAACCTCGTAGACATTAATGTAAAGCACAAGAATACCTGGTACATGGCCAGCAACACGCATGACCCATTATGTCTTTGTAGTAAAACACCCTCATTTTGTTTCTATTTCTGACGCGCAGAAGTGAAAACTTGTGGGAGGAGGACAAGTTGTGCTCAATTCAGATTTGACCTTTGATTAGTTTCCTTCTTCCTTTGAACAGTTTCAACCCTTAGCATGCAGACATGAAACCGCTGGCTGATACGCACACAGCAAAGTGCTGATGTTTCCTGCAGCACTGATGACAAAGTACGTACAGCACAAAAATGTGCAGGTCTAGCTGTAATATGGTTTCACAAGCTGGCATTAATCTTGTTATTTATCTGTGGATTCCCTCCTTCAATGCAGAAATAGCATGTCAGCACATTACCATCATAGTGCTACTGTAGCTCTACGGTCTAGATATATTAACTACAACAGGTTAGCAACAATCTGTGCTACCTTTAGCTTATCATATTATATGTTATGTTATAGCTCTATCTTCTTTTTAGTCTTTTTTTGTTTAGTTTTGTTAGTCCCCCTTAAAAAATAGATTTCAAACTTCACCTGGTAAGTAAGAGCTCAACTACTTTTTTGATTTCCAGGTCAAAGCAAACTATTTGTTATAATGAATTTGAATTAATTTATAATGAAAATAATTCTTCGGAATTATTTAAATACTCTTTCTTCCCTAGTTCGATAAAATCAGTTCCCAAAACATAAATAGACAATTGTTGCATTCATTTAGAGATAAAACTAAACAGACAAATTAGGAGATCAAAGGTAAGGAGTCCTTAAAGAATGACTGAGGCATCGGGTTTCTAACATCCTATTGTTTAACGCTTTAAACCACACATCAAGGAATCAAATAACACATTTTGGTCAGTCCTTCAGTTTCAGAGAAGGGAATCCCCTAAAACGCTGCCTCATGTCTGCAGCGTATCATTAATCTTTCAGATCCGACTGTACATCTGTGCAAGAGAATTCACAGAACCAGTTGTGTTTGTCTTGTCGTGTGGTGTCAGATAGTACAGGATGTCAGATTATAACCAGAATTCCTCAATGCATGACACGCGAAGCCTCGTGCCAGCGTTCTGCCAGCGTTCTGCCAGTTTCTGCTGCGGCTCCGGTAGAAACATCCCATTCTGCATCAACCTCACTTTAAATCGGCCACAATCACTGCGGACGTACCAAGGAGAGAATCTGCAATCAGGTCAGACATCTACCATGATAATGACTCCATCTGGCTTGATAATTTGGTGCTGTACCGTGAGGAAGCATTAGACTCTAAAAGGGTATTTGATGTGTAGAGAACCAGTGATTCCACACTAATACGCAACTTTTGACAAAACATTTACCCGTATATATGCTTTCAGTTTTAGAGACAATCTTTGCCTCTGAAGAAACAAGGGTTGCCCTCTCCAGTAAAACGTATTTCATTCTCAAGAGAGGTATCTTAATACTTGAGTGACTCAAACGGCAGTGTTCAACGAAAGAAATCCGAGCGTACAACAAAGAAATCTTCCTGCAAAATGCTTTTTCATTTCAAGACTCAATCCATGGTAAGGTGGATAGGTAAGTCGTCCACACAGAGAAATGTTTATGGTAGACATCGAACACTCGGCAGTAAATTTAAAGAGGAAACAGAGCTTTAGGATTGTGGTGAAGGGCTATACCATTTCATTTAAAGAGAAACTGTTGATCTGGTTCCTGTGATGTTGTAAAATATGCACAATCGTGCACGAAGAGGAACAATTGATGGAGCACATTCAACACACTCAGAGATGATTGGATGTATAGTCATTCTAGTGCCATTGGTTAACTGGGCAATAAATTACATAATAAATAAGGATATATTTTATGAATAGCTGTGTATCTTAAACAACTGATACTGATGCAAAGAGGGACTTAACTTTTGAAGATGAGCAATGCTTTGCCAAAAGATGTATTGATTAAGATTGATTTTCTCCTGGAACCCACTACAATTAACTATAATGAGAAATGGTGGTCAAGAGGGGCCAGGAGGGGAGAACCCACAAGGTCAACGGCATTTACTTGACTGATATGTAATTAAATATCCCATATAAGCAATATGAATTGACCAGATGAAACCCAGAGAATCAAAAACCAGCTAATTTCATTCAAAGTAAACTCCCAGATAAACCTTTGTACATACAGAGTCATGAGGGAGTACTGATTTAAATCATTCTGGTTATTTTGAAACAATTTAAGCTAAAATTAAGTTTGGGTAAGTCAGCAGATATCACGGTGTGAACATGACAGCATGGAATATAATGGATATTTGTCACATGATGGAAATGGGAAGTGATCCTTTTCTACACAATTGTCCTTGAGGAGGACCTTCTGAAAGGGTATAGGGACAGTTCAGAAATAATTGCCGGGACATTGAAATTCAAACCGAACTGTGGGTCTGCGTGTGAAAGTCAGAAAACTGAGAAACCGACGAAGAGCAGTTCTAAAAAAGAGTTATTGAAAAAAAGTTAAAAGAGATGTCTGCATCGGGGAAGTGATTCAGAAGAAGAGAGAGACATATTCTATGGATGTAGGAGGGAGGAAATCTTGCTGATCTGTAACTGATCCTGTCTCTGCGACAGCATGATTTCAAAGAAGCAGGGAGACTGAATATGTATACATTCTGCGGTGTATACAAACATCCAATAACACATTTGCACACACGTCACATAAGTCAGATAAGTGATCACATTATTCTTTCTGATTTATTTTGGTTGCTTATTCCTTTCATTAGAGAGCTCCAATTAAAATCAAGCTTACGTTTTGACTGGTAAAACACAATAATTTATCCTTCTTTGCCCAAACTATTCTGTAAAACAAAGGCACCTACCAGCAGAACTACATAATAATATGTATAATGTGAATCTTACTCTTACCTAATTTTGTCACTCCGTAGCCAGGCGAACAGGTACTGTGTGGGATGCAAAACTCCACCACTAGGTGGAAACCAGGAGCACACTCACACAGCTGGTCATGAGTGCTGTTGCACTGCTGCTTCACCAGCTGTCTTTCTTTGCACACCTAAACACACACACACACACAATGAAACAGAGCTGCTGCATGTACAGACCTACATTCACATTGATGGTGATTTGCATTGCACGTATGTGAAGAGTACAACAGCGCTGCTTCACATGCAGTCAAATGAGATACTATAACAGGGATGCACAAAATCCTCAAGAGAGATATGTCACTCGACCACAATGACCTTTCAAACTTTAATTATCAGGAACAACAACTGGTTTGAAGAAATACTGGATGTTTTGCTAAAATTCAGAACAAACCACGTAGTCGTGCATAAGCAGAGGAGCAGGTAAAAACATTTTGTGGACTTCCTAACAGGGATTTGGCCTCTGTAAGTGTATATCACAAAAACTGTTTTTCAAAAAGAACCTTTGATAAACCCTTTGTGCTGGTACATACCGAGGTGCAGTATTGACAGGTGTCTCCCCAGTGCCAATTCTCAGCGAAATGCCTCTCGGGACAGGCCTGGCACTCTGTGGGCAAGTCCACGGTGCAGTGTCGTTTCACGGCTGTGCCAGGAGGGCACTGGTCACATACTAGGAGGTCAGACGTCACAGGGTCAAGGTACTGGTACTTTGGCGGCAGGTCCTGATGCTGGAAGGCCAAGGAGAGAGAGGATGTGAAGAGCTGCAAGAAAAAGAACAAAATTGTTTAGTGGTAGTTTGGAGTCAACGGCTGTGACGAATCTCTAATGAAACCCATCAGGTGCACAGCTCCTCTTTGGCTGAAACTTGGAATATTTGTTTCATTTTTTAGGAGCCAAAGCTTCCAGTAAGGAGTTCAGGGCTGTAAAGTTGAAGCTTCTGGTGAACACAGAGTCCTACGGATTTCCTGTGCTTTAGAGAAAGCCGGTCTGGGACTCAGACCTTTCAGCTTTAGTTTCATGGGTATGTCTCACTGCACAGGAGCACAAGATCAACATTTTAAACAACCCTAACCTTTTGTTTTTGTAGGAACCAATGCTATCCCTTTTATGCTGCCCTCAAATAACAATGCTAAATTCTGTAGGCGTCATTTTACTCTTGGCATTGTTTTTCAGAATCTTAAGGATTTTCCAAAGCTATTAAGCTCTGTTGACGTGTTCCTTTCTAACTGAAAAGCATCTGACGTGGTTCGACCCTGATTTACATCAGTTTAATAGGGCCCTGCAGCGAGAGCACACCACACCCATATGTCTTCCAAGCAATCCATCAATATGGACAAACTGTGGGGTGGGGGACTGTTAAGTGAGGCCTCTGCGATGGACACATTCAGCTATTGCCTCAAAAACAAGCTCATGTATCGTCGTTTGGGTGGAAACTAACAAGCTTTTGCCTAAAATCCAAGATATCAGTTGGTGACCATGTTTGACATGCAGCGAAAGCAGCTGGTCAAGGCCACATGCAGACTAGTTCCTTACACCCCGAAGTCCCTCAGCCATTGGCTTTGTGGATTTCCCATTGGCAGAGATAAGTCCTCACAGCTTGGACCAGCTAACAATAAGTCGTACTCGCATTGTATGAGGTTTTCTGCAAATTCCCACCATGTTTGTGTGAATTCATACAACAACAACAACAACAACAAAAACAACAACTAACTTTCATGCATGTGTGCAGGAGTGCACACATGCAGAAATGTGTGTGTGTGCATGTTTGTTGATGTTCATGTTCAATTATCGTCTTCCTCAGTGTTGGTCTGTGTGCGCTGCGGCCTCCTCTCCTGGCTGCTATTCATAACAAGAACGGTTGGAGGTTACTGGGCTTTCCCAATTCACCACCAGAGTACAAAACACTAAACCCACTCCTTTATACAGTTTACTCGCCACACATCATTGATCTCCTTTCTGTGTGTGTGTGTCTATGTATACCATTTACTTTAAAGCTGAAACCACGAAACACAATATGCTACAATGTGTGTGTGTGTGTGTGTGCGTGACAACAAAACAAAGAGTGGTAGTTTCAGCATCTCTCCTTCACTATTATATAACACAATATTTGACATGTTGGTGTCTGTGTGTGTGTGTGTGTGTGTGTGTGTGTGCGCATGTCTCTTCCATAGATCATGTGCTGCTTAATATCTGAATTTTTTTGTTTTCATTCAATCCTCTATTGCACTGTGCAAACATTTTAGTTAGTTAGTTATTTACTAACCAGAAATGATGCACGACACACTCTTTTTGTTTCCTTTTGCAATGGCGGTCCTTTCAGACATGGACACTAAAAATAGATGAATGGTTTTATACACCAAAATAGAAACCTAAACTTCAAACAAGCGCAGTGGTTTTCCCGGGCAAAACTTACAGTGTGGACCTCTGAGCACAACATTGGGCGGAAGGCTTTCATCCGCAGCCCCTCGCTGTGCAGAACCATAGCTGCATCTGTATGTTTGTAGCATGGGTGTCCACAGCAGGAATCAATAACCACAGTCCTGCTCTTCAGAATCAGAATATCAACTTCATTGATTTTGACCGCTTTTGTCCTTCACTAACCACGTACAGTATATATATAAATTGTTCGATAGGGAGAAGGCCTGTGGGAAATGGATCCGGTGGTTTTGGCATACGGGGTTCTATAGCGCCTAGCAGAGGGGAGGACATGGAACAGTTTGTGTCCAGGGTGTGAAGGGTCTGCAGTAATCTTTCCTGCCCGTTTCCTGACTCTGGAGGTTCACAGGTGCAGGATGGAGGTCAGGCTGGAGCCAATTGTTCTCTCTGCAGACCTGATGATCCCATGTGATCTGTTCCTGTCCTGTGGAGTGGCCGATCCGAACCACACGCCGATGGAAGAAGAGAGAACGGAGGGGAGGATGGGTGAGTAGAACAGGAGCTCCCAGAGGAAGGTTGTAATTCCAGAGCTGGCGCACATAATCTCCTTGGGGCATTCTTCCTGATGGTTTTGGTGTCGGAGGCCCACTTCAGGTCCCGGGAAATTGTGGATCCCAGAAACCTGAAGGGCTCCACAGCAGACACGGTACTGTTGAGTATGGTGAGGAGGGGCCTGAAGCCATACTGTCATAAGACCAAATCCAATCAATTAAGAAGTTTCCAAGTCAGGATTATTCTGGGAACAGTTCCAATTATTTTGCACATCAAGGTAAGATGACACCTTTAATATCATGTTTATATTTTCTTTTCCCTCTTACAACACAGTAGTTTTTGTTTGACTGCAGCTGAAATGTTACACGACTTAATTTGAAACGATTCTGTTAGTGTCTAGTTCGGATACACTTAAGGTGGTATATAGGGGTATAACGATTCATTTTAACAACGATTTGATTCGAATCGCGATTCATGGTTACCGATTCGATTCATGGACGATCTGGGTTGTAGAACGATTCGATTCGATTTGATTCAGTGAGTGTTTGGATCAATTCACAGAACCCAGGATTTTCAACCACATTGTAGGGTCGCATGTCTTTACAGCTAAACTTGGCAATTGTTACTGTGATGTTGAGTTTGGTGCTGGCGAGGCCTGAGGTGTCTGCAGAGCTGGAGTAACCTGCTGCTGCTGCAGCGGTAACGCTGCTAGAGGTGCCTGACTGTCGGTGTTGTTTAATCCCGCGGCGCCTTAGTAGATGGCTGGAAAGATGCGTCGTGTTTCCGTGTGTTTTTTATTTGGCTTCTACGTATTCTACAAACAGCGACCGACTTATTTAGAACACCTCTGTGTTTGCAAAAGCCAAAATGTTTCCACACGCTGGATCGATAAGTTGGTTGGTAAATGTCTCGCTCGCAGTCGTTTTTGTGCTTAAATCCAATGTGCAGTTTCCAAGTATCGATACAATCGATGTACCATTTCAATCGATTTGTAATCGATATATGTCGTCCGGAATGCCGATTTGCGGAGGACAGATCGATTCAGTTGGATCGCAGGAATATAAATCTATAAATCGATTCACTGAATTAATCGTTACACCCCTAGTAGAATAACACGCTTCCCCCAAATCAGCCACTGCAGCTTAATAAATCTGTCAACTTTTTGATAATTCACATGTTGGGAAGATGCCCCGTGGCGTGCGTGAATCAGCCTATCAGCCGCTAAAAGAGACATGAACTTTTCACCTCCTTGTTGCCTTAGAAGTTGCCATCGGATGACATCAGGAACAACCGCCGGGAACCCAAATTACACAGCAGTTTAGTGCCAATGACAGCCATAATTATGCAGGTCACATCAACCGCGCAAAGCTCAACGAGAGTCACGTCCTACATGGAGCACACCCAGCTTAGGGAAAACAATGCACTACGGTACAAAAGGTAATGGCAGTGTTCCTCCTAACAGAGATGACCTCGGGCAAGGCAGTGCAGCTGCTATGCAAATGATTGTAACCGATGTTTGAAGCTGATGGCTAGAAAAAAAGATCTCAATCATTCTCAGTCTCACTGGTTAAGGTATAAATGTGTTTACTGGTTGAATCAGGGTCCGTCTGATACAGTTGAACAGATGGAAATCCCATTTGAGGGGAGTATAGAAAAAACCTTAGCGTCTTCACCAATTCTTTAACAAAGAACATGTGCTTTTTAGTAGATTTTCACCTCTGGAATGAAACAAACAACGGCACAAGTGCCAGTCAGTAAAGTGTGGTGATATACAGGCCTGTTTCTCCCAACGGGCAACGCAAGAGGGACACGGTGAAAGTCCAGTGTGATGTTATTGTGGTGAGTAACAGTCATCCGCAGTGTGTTTATCCATCACTTAGGGCACACATGTAATACCTCTGACATTCAATGATGTAGTTATTGAAATAATGCCAGTCCTCCGGCTGGACAGGGTTCATAAGACTCTTTGTTTCTCTGTGACCTCTCTGTTTTCTAAATTATAAGTGTCATGATGGCCGAGGGTCTTGGGGAAACAAGTGTAGCTGAACTTCAAGCACCAGATGACAGACGGCCCGTAGCAACACAACAGAGTTCAGCCACCTAGAAGAAATAGCCTTTAAAATGTGGACGCTTTCCATGTGTGCTTATAAAGAGATTAGCCTCAAAATAGTGGGGTCGGGGTAAAAGGCTTATCAATTTTACGAAAAACTAATTATTACTATTCATATCCACTAGAATACTCTTCCTCCGAAACGTCACAATGAATATTACGTAAATACTGTGCAAAGAGACGTCAGACAGGTTGAAGTTTGTTTGACGGTTGATACGTTTGGTGGTGGTTAAGAATAGAAAAATGTCTGGAAATTGAGAACAAAAGAGCATCTGTATTCAGAGAACAACCTCACCAAATTCAATAAATTACAATTTGAAACAGAAAACATGTCCTCATTTCTATTGTTAGCGGAAATATTCAAATGCTTCCAGGACAAATTTGTGGCAGTATTTTACCAGCGGATTCAGGCTTAAGGTTACAATAAATGTGGAGCAAACTAAAATTCAGAGAAAGGGGAGAATCAGTGTTTGAGTAGCCAGAGGTCACTTTTAAACGAATGGCATGAGGAGAGGAACCATGTCACAAAGGGACCACACCACACTACACCAGCTTATCCACCAGGCACATGGCTTCAGTTAACTGTAGAACGCAGGTGGTCTGAGGGGGGATTCCAGCTCTGGGATGTGTGTGCTGGGTCCTGTGAACATGTGGACTTTGTCTTTGTTCACTTACTCATCACAGCATCTAAAGCAAAATGTGCGTCTTATTCCGAATCTGCTGCTTTAAATATTGTGATAAGACTTACTTATGTGTGACCACATGTTTGCAATTCTGCAGAATGTTATACTGTTTGGCTGATTAATTGAACCGAAAGAAAATGTTGTGCTTTATACTCCAGTCGCTTTTTTATTTAACATACATTAATTAGCATATGAAACATTTATAAAATATATGATATATGCTTTCTATACAATTTTTGACATTTTCTCTTGGAGCTCCAGGTCACACTAAGATGTCTATGAGTTGTTCGCAGTTCCACCAAAGAGTGAGATATTTTTACCTTAAACTTTGTTTCACATTGTTTCATTCAAAATACGGTTTAAGGCCCAAAGATATTAAATTATGCAATACAAAAACTAAAACAGGGAAGAAGGTAGAAAGTCCCACAAATTAATCAAAGTTTGTGTAGAATGAGATCATTTTACAATTTCATGATCTCCCAATGATACTGGAGGGGGAGTCCCTGGACGTTTTGTCATTCAATGAGAAAAGCTGTCCAAACTTTGGATGCATAACTAGTACATTTTCGTCCAGGTACTGTATTCTGTATTTTTGCTTGGAATGGAGCATATCCTGGAAAATAAATACAATTCAAACATATAGGATACACTTTAACAACAGAAATTTGCATCAGATCAGTCTTCATGTTTTTCATATAACTAATCCAGATTCAAGATAAAACAAAGATGGCCTGCAGTCTGTTATTGTGACCCTAACCGGTGTATCCCTTTTACCGCCTCTCTTTCTCCTCTTTGTGTCTGATATTTACTCAGTGCCTCCCTCCCTCCCCCCCACAGACACAAACACACCAGTACTTCTGCTATCAGGAATACTGTTGACTGGAAAGGGGAAGTTAGGTGTGCCGAACCGACTTCCAGAGGTAATCGTTACTTTCTGAATAAACGTTGGTGCTTGTTCGTTGAAAACATGTTGATCCAATAGGCTTACACACCCTCTGCATGTGTCTCTCCCACCAGTCACGCTCACTTCCTCACCCATTCTCCAGTGTTTAGGTCGGTTTGGCCAAGTGACCTTCCTGCCCTGCAGCTTCTCCTGTTTGCGTGTGAACCTGCCGCCAGGTTTAGGGAAGTAGTTGCCGGAGCGCTAACGGCCACAACAGAGTGAAAGAGAGAGAGGCGTGGAGATAAAGAGAGCACGGATGATAGATAACAGGGATCAGGGCTGTGCAAGAAGAACGGATGGATGGTTGACAGACAGGTGACTTCAGTTGCATTATTGTGCTCCCCTAAACTTCCTCCCTTCTTCCCTAACTTCTGTGCCAGGCATGTGTCTGCACAAAAACAAAAGGCTATTATGTTGAATAACGTGATATTAAGGATTGTGACCAAGTTCCAATTGTGTTCCACTGACATCATCTCAGGCAAGGAACCAAACAACGCGTGTATTCTATCAGCGGACAAAAGACAGCCAAATGAGTCAGAGACGATCAGGGCACACACAGGTGAAGGAGGTGCACATACACCCCCCCACCCCCCCACCCCCCTGCCCCAGGGGGGTAAAGATTGACTTGTTTGGCGGGAGCTGATGGTTGAGACTGTGGCAGCTGACTCATTAGTTGGATAGACGGCTGCATGGCCTTCCAAACGACTGCATGACTAACTGAATAATGGATGAACACAACAACACTACGTCAGGAATTGTGAGGGACAAAATAGGAGGCTATTTTTGGTAAATTGATTGTTTTGCGTTCGAGAGAAGTAGTGGAGGGAACACTGGTTGGCATCACACTAAATGGTTGCAGAAACTAGCTGACACGTGCACATACAATCACATATATAAATATATATATATTTGTACTTCACTTCCCTGCACACTTATTTTACACACAAAGAAGTGTCCCTTAACAAAAATGACTGACTGAGCTTACACCTGCAGAGTAGGAAGATAGATAGTGGGTCCAGTGTTTTGTAGCCACAATCCACAACCTGTTTATGTCCCAGATACAAATCTGCACGTCACATATGCAAAACTTGCTGAGCTCCAACATAATACTAGAGACAAAACACACCCCAGAAAATAACTGCTCCTGACCTGTAAGCCTTCATTTAAAATCCATCTGAAAGCATTGTAGAACAAATGAGTGCCGAACTAGCAGTAAACACCATCTGCACCATGAAGTCTTATTCATTTCAAACGCGCC